CCCCCCCCCACAGGGCCCCTACAATCCTGCAGGACCTCCCCCAGGTGAATTCTGGGCGTGTCCCAGGTGTGCCCAGGTGTGTCTGGGCGTGTCCCAGATGTGCCCAGGTGTGTCTGGGTGCGCCCAGGTGTGTTTTGGGTGTGCCCAGGTGTGCCCAGGTGTGTTTTGGGTGTGCCCAGGTGTGTTTTGGGTGTGCCCAGGTGTGCCCAGGTGTGTCTGGGCATGTCCCAGATGTGCCCAGGTGTGTTTTGGGTGTGCCCAGGTGTGTTTTGGGTGCTCCCAGGTGTGCCCAGGTGTGTCCCAGCTGTGCCCAGGTGTGTTTTGGGTGCTCCCAGGTGTGCCCAGATGTGTTGTGGGTGCTCCCAGGTGTGCCTGGGCGTGTCCAGCTGTGCTAGGTGTGTTTTGGGTGTGCCCAGCTGCACCCAGGAGTGTCTGGGTGTGCCCAGGTGTGTTTTGGGTGTGCCCAGGTGTGTCTGGGCGTGTCCCAGCTGTGCCCAGGTGTGTTTTGGCTGCTCCCAGCTGCACCCAGGAGTGTCTGGGTGTGCCCAGGTGTGTTCTAGATCTGCCAGCTGAGGCCAGGTGTGTCTGGGTGTGTTCCAGGTGTGTCTGGGTGTGCCCAGGTGTGTTCTAGATCTGCCAGCTGAGCCCAGGTGAGACCTGGATGTGCCCAGGTGTATCTGGGTGTGCCCAGGTGTGTTGTGGGTGTGCCCAGGTGTGATCTGACCATACCCAGGTGTGCGCAGGCGTGTTCTGGGTGTGCCTAGGTGAGCCCAGGTGAGCCCAGGTGTGTCCTGACCATACCTAGGGGTGCCCAGGTGTGTTGTGAGTGTGCCCAGCTGTGCACAGGTGTGCTGTGGGCGTGTCCTGGGTGTGCCCAGGTGTGTCCTGACCATACCCAGGTGTGCCTGGCTGTATCCAGGTGCGTTCTGGGTTTGCCCAGGTGTGTGCTGGGTGTGCCCAGGTGTGCCCAGGTGTGCTGTGGGTATGCCCAAGTGTGCCCAGGTGTGCGCAGGTGTGTTGTGGGCGTGCCCAGCTGTACCCAGGTGTGTTGTGGGCGTGCCCAGGTGTGCCCAAGTGTGCCCAGGTGTGCCCAGGTGTGCCCAGGTGTGTTGTGGGCGTGCCCAGGTGTGCCTAAGTGTGCCCAGGTGTGCCCAGGTGTGCCCAGGTGTGTTGTGGGTGTGCCTAGGTGTGCCCAA